ACCGAACCAAAAATGCCATAAAGGAAGAGGGGAACTAGTAGTAGCAAAAGCAGCAGTCTCTACATTGGAAGGACTGGAGAAGGGAATGAGAAGGTGGATGAGCTCGTATGGACGTCCAAGTCTACAAACTATCCCAGGGTTTGTCATGTCTTCAGATCCTGCACAACATAACCAGTTGGAGAAAATAGAACAATGAGGCCAAGATCACATAGTTGAGCAATAGAGCTAAGATTAAGTGCAAGATTAGGGATCAGATAAGTGTGAGGGAGAGAGACATTAGAGATAAAAATATGACCTACTTGTCTAACATGCATTTGAGAACCATTAGCAGTATGAATACTAGGTAAATTAGAAGGACATGTAGTGGAAGAAAATAGTGGAAGGCCAGAGGTCATATGGTTCTAACAAGCCAAATCAAAATACCATGATGAGGTACCTGGGGTGACTAAGATATCAGTAGAAAGTGTACCAGAAGTGGAAAGAACCTTTTCCATAACGTAGACACCCCATTTTGATCGGCCTTAAAACTTGGACACTTTCTTCTGATTACCCGATGATGACAAATAAAATGTGTTTCTCACAGAATCCTCAGTAAGAGAGATAGAATTTGAACTTTAATTCCAACCTTTACACTTTTTTTGGCCAAACTATTTTAGACCTTAAAAACCTCTTTTCAATATATATATATATATATAATGTTTCTACGATGTTCTAAGGCTCCCATTTCGATTAAAATATTACATTTTTCAGTAAACCGAGTAAGGACAAAGTGGAAATAAATAGAAAAGAAGTGAACTCTTTGAAAATAATATTTAAAACATCTTTTTTATAAGTTTGGATAGGTTTTTATTTGAAGGAAATAGGAAGGGATGGAAGAAAACTGGTTTAGGGAAAGGATGAGCATCAAATTGTTAAAAAGGAAATGAACAACCTTTACTAAATTAGGCATATCTCTTTGTACACTTGGCATTTAGATGTGAGGCCACCACCATTGGAAAGTAGACTTCTTGAGCTTCAATTTAGACCCAAGAATCACCTAAAACCAAGTCCAGATAAGGGAGATATGCCCATTTGAAGTTGGGTTTGAGAGCATATTTTGTTGACCTGGTCCAAGAGAAATAAATAGCCTTCACTAAATTAGGCATATCTCTTTGTACACTTGGAATTTAGATGTGAGGTCATAGCCATTGGAAAGTAGACTTCTGGGGCTTCAATTTAGACCCAAGAAGCACCCTAAATCAAGTCCATATAAGGGAGATATGTCCATTTGAAGTTGGGCTTAATAGCAGATTTTGTTGACTCGACCCAAAATAGCAACAGCCCCATTTTTCTTGGTTTTGGTTCGGTTGGGACACCCCATTTACCTATTTTTTGATCCATTCAAGTGCACCCACTCATCCTCCATTATACCTAATCATTCTCCATTGTTAAAAAGAGGTTTTGTTTGCATCCATAAAGGAGTATCCCATGCAACCACCTTTAAAATTTGCTCTCCTATCACATTCTTGTCTCCCACCTTGTCTCCCACCTTCTTTTTGACCTTCACTCTCCCTCATTGCCAATATAGAATGATCATATTGTAAGAAAGAGAGAGGACCACGAAATTGAAGAGAAAAGAGTGAGAAAATGGTGGAAAAAAAAAAAGAGAAAAATTGAGTTTTTGAGCCAAAACACTTCTAAGCTCCCATAGCTACTGAAATTCCTCATTTCCATGCACCAAAACCACTCCAAAAATTCTGATATAGCCAAAGATTAATTTCCTCGATCATATGGAAAAGTGTTTAGTAATTGAAAGTGAGAAAAACAAGAGAGTTAGCCACTTTCCATACCATAAACTCCATAATTTTGAATTGAGGATTTGAGAACACACTTCCTACACTTGAGGGTGATTATGAGGGAGTTTGTGAACTAAGGATTCCATCCATTCCTTGGAAGGTGAATTTCACAAACCTTTCTTTTTCTTGCGTTTCTTACTTATTTTGCTCTTTTACTTTCATTTATTGTTATATTGTATACTATTGTAATCTAATTGAAAATTGTGAATTGAAGTCCCATATATGTTGCTTTTAGCATGAGAAAGAGACCTTCCATGATAAATGGTTTAATCTCTTCGGAGGTTCATTACCAGGGCATTACATCTCTCTCATGCCAAGAACAATTCCTTGTTTGACGCTTCTCTTATTTTAGTGGACGTAACTCTTATTTTTGGACTAAAATGACTAAAAAATGGCAAGGTAATTAAAAGGGATAATAAAATTGGACTAAAAGAGGCACAGGATAATAACATTGAGTTGGGTTCAATCAAACGTCATATTGAACCCATTGTCCTTTTTTTTAAATATATACTTATTTTGCTCTTTTTGCTTTGATTTCTTGTTATATTATATATTGTTGTAATCTTGCATGTTCTATCTTATACTTGTTTTCTTGTTTTAGATTCATGTTAGTTTTGTTGTAAGTTTGCACTTTTTTTTATTATTTTATATTTGTTTTCTCACTTTTAATCTAATCGGTAGTGGTTAGTTGAGCCACCTACATATTTCTTATTTGTTCATTTTCTTGGTTTTGCAATAAGACAGGTTTTGCTAGGCCTAGTTGGTCGGCCGGTTAGCTTCTTTTTGACAAGACGGCGTTGTCTTTCGATGTTAACCAACTTCCGGTGATTTCCAAGGCACATGAAACTTTTTTTCTTTCGTTAATTTTATTTTGAGTGTATTGTGAGATTTTTATTTTGTTGTAATATTCTCCTCATCCCTCTCTAATTTGGTTTGTAATTATTCTTTAAAATGTTGTAATAATTTTCCGCCCCGCTTCTTTCCATCCCGTTCTTTTACTTGCTTTCTTTATTTGTACATAAACGTCATATTTATTTTTCATCACAATTATGCTTTGCATCCATGTTTCATGCATCTTGATTCAGTTAAGTTTGCATTTGTAGATTTAATCAATTCGTATGTGATTATGTGCGCTACCTCATGTTCTTGAGATGATTCGCATATCATATTTTAGAAGCCGAATCTGTAGTTGCATCTCATGGGTGACTTGCATTAGAATTTTGTATATAAGATCATGCATATTTTATTAACTTTATTTTGTAGCTTGTTCGTAGGACGTCAAACATGTATGTTTTTATGCTTTAGCATCACGTTTGTGTTTGTTTTTCTTACTATGTCTAGCATTCTACCATGAAGCTATTTACTTATGTGATATAACTCTATGAATGCCAGTGGATGGAGGTTGTGTCATTTAATTTGGAATGACGTTGATTTTCATGTTTGTAAACTCAATTTATTTTGGTTGTATATCTTCAAAACTCTTTCAAAACTACATGAAATCAAATCGTTCCAAAGTGGATGACATAGTCTATACTTGTAGGCTTCACATAGTAAATTGTAGGATTTATTAAATAATCAAAACATGAACATATAAAGAAAATAAAATTCATATCACGATTAGTAAAGGTCGATCTTTTGATCGGGCAAGCGGGGGTGCTCAATTAATGACCTTCCCCTCTTATACCTAAGATTTCGAACCAAGACAACTTTGGTTATGACGAACAGTGGCCTTGGCACGAGTCATGGGTTTCCTAATTTCTCAAAATATTAGGTGGCGACTCTAAGATCTAATGACACAGTCCATTTCTGTCAAAAAGGTTAAAAATGGATTTTCTAAAAATTACCAAATGTGGACTCTCATCTATATTTCACATTGCAATAATAAGACTAGATCAAAGAAATCAAGGGTCCAAACTGTTTAACGCGCACGGGTACCCCTCGGGCATGTTACACTTAATAGCTTCAATATTATGAACAGTATGAGTGGATGAGGAGGCAAGTATAACAACAGCAGAGGCAAACAAAATCAAAGAGTCATGTCAACCAGCAGAGGATCCAAAAGAGCCACCGTAGAGAGGAGAACTATCTGAATAATCCATGAAGTGATCAAAGTATGAGTCACAAAGAGGGCCCAGTAGTGTTGGAGTACAACTAGGTGAAACAAAGTGTCCCAGTGAATCCAGAACGTTGAAAATAGCTAGAGAACAGCTGAGTAGGCCCAAAAATAGACAAAAAAATGGACCTATAGAAGAAAAATAGGCCAAAGATGACGTCAGCAACATGTGGATGACGTCAGTGTGCGCGACGCATGTTAGCAGAAGAGGGGCGCAGTGCACGGTAGTGACAGAGGCGTGCGCGGCGCACAATAGCAAAGGAGGTGCAAGGGTGCGTGAATATGATGTTAGCAATGATGTGTGCAGCTAGACTGGAACGATGCTGCTAAGACGGTTGGTACGACTAGGGCTGACATTAGAAACGTAGAAGGATGTGAGAGGCGTGTGTGAGGCTGACATTTGTAATCACAAAATGCGTAATAGAGGGCGCGTGGTGGCGCGTGAGATGCGGGTGACAGAAGCAATATACGTGCCAAAGCTTTGGGAGGTACATGGAGGCGCGTGCGAGCATTTTTAGAGGCAAGGCTGGTGGCATTGGGATCGTAAGAAGATTCCGAGCAAGTTGATATTAGTTTGAAAATTTGTTGATCACTGTAGATTGCATAACAGTGTTTGAACAGATGAAGATGTGTGATTAGATTAATTGAATAAAAGTGCTACAGTACCACTATGCACGGTAGTGAGCAACAGAGGGAGACGAGGATTTAAAACTTTAGCTCTGATACCATGTTATGAAAGTAGAGAGAGAAGAGAAGAGAGAAACTCTATATTGAATTAAATAATGAAACACAAGAAGCCTGTATATATAGGTTGAGAAGAAACCTAGATAAGTATAAAAAATGAGATGATATACATCTACAATACATATAGATAAGTATAAAATAATAATATATATCTAACAGAAGGTATGTTGCAACAATTTTTTAAATTGATATAAAACAATGGTAAAAAAGTTTACGATGTAATAAATTGTTTTTAAAACGAAGAAACGGGAAGCATCTTGTGATTCTAGAATTCACAATGTAAATCATGATACAAATATGTGGTGAGAATTTATTCAATTTATTATTTCAGTGATTACAATTATAACAAGAATAGAGGAAAAGCATTATGATAAATGCAAAAGCAAATTACATCAAATCACTATGATTCAAAACAAAAAAATTTGATGTGCTTTATCTAGGTGGTAGCTGCAGAACATTCAGTAGGAAGACCCTGAGGAAATTTATTTACGTCGGTGCAATAGTTATAGATCATATAGTTGTTTTGCACCCATTTTAATCTCTCTTGAGATTTGGGATCGAGTTCTTGTGTGAACCAGGAGGATGAATTTGAATTGCAAGAAGACATCGCGGAGGACCAAATGCAAGCCTTTGCATGGAATTTTCTATAGTAAGCAATGAAGGGAGCTTCAGTCCAGTTTATCTTCACACGGCCACCTCTCGTGGCCCAGAAATCAGCATTCCATATGCTCCCAATTATCCTCATTGACTGGTTATTTGGGTATGGAACACCCATGGCTTCCAGGTTTTTGAATTCTCTAATGGGTGTTCCATCCACAGACAAGCTGAAAATTAGAGTTAAAAAACAAAGGTGAATATACTCACTCCTATTTGGATATTGAATTTATTTATCAAAGAAATGAAACTACATATCTATATAAGTGTAATTAAACAAAAATAAGATTGCCTTTTTTCTACTATAAATGGTCTATATTCATTTTCTCTCATTTTTGTTACCCAACTGAAGAAAGAGAGACATTTAGCTTCATTAATTCAATTTCCCCCTATATTTTCCATTATCGTTGTTTTTTGTCCTATATCCAGCCAGCGTAGGCTCATTGTTCACCTGTAGGTTGTGACTCACTGATGGGGAGCCTTTTGGCTTTACGAGAGCCCACTAGAGAAAAAGAGTCTCGGGTAGGGATTTGGAAAGTGATAGAAAAAAAAATAGGTAAAACGTGAATAAAATATAATTACATTTCACACACAATTCTCATTTTCGTTTCCGAATCCTTACACAAATACATACTCCAAACATAACCTAAGGGTTTGTTTGATTATGGAGAGATAGTGACGCCAAGAGCACAATATCAAAAAAAAAAAAAAAAAAAAATCGAATTTTTTGGTCTTTGTTTAGCAAGAGAATTGTAGAAAGAGTTACAAAATGAAATTTCTCTTAAAACTCTCTTAACCTTTTAAACTTACATTTTAGTTTCCTAGAAACATGTAGAGAAAGGTATTTTCTAAAAGTGGGGAACAATTATCACATTTTTCAAATTTTTCTACGATTCCCTTCCTTTGTTTAAAATAGACAAACAGAAATCAAGTAAAATATATATAATAATTTTCTTGCAACTTTTGTGCTCTTCAAACTTCAAAACTAATTTTTTGATTATTTTCTACAACAATGATTCATCTCCCTTTTTCCCTCACTCCCTTTGACCCCCTCTCTCTCTCTCATTGGTTACCTTTTCTTTTTCTTTTTCTTTTTTTTCCTACTCCTCCAATCACCACCCGTCACGTGGCAAAGGGGGGTGAGGGGGTGACCCCCAAAAAGGGTCCCAAGCATTATTCTATTTTCTATCAAATCTCCATTCCAATTAATTGCATGCGAGAAAATGATTCACTTTCTAACATTTTCATTTCTTTCAAATCCAGCAGACCTCCATTTTGTTTGGCGGAAACTATTAACCGTTTCGTAGACTTTTTTTTTTTTTTTTTTTTTTCAGAAAATGGTTTTCATAGAAAATGTTTTCCTTTATTTAGCTACGGTCTTGAAACTAATATGTCAGCGGTTGTGGTGTTAGTGGTAGTGTAGTGTTGGTTGAGGTGGTAATATGACAACATTGATTAGATTTTAATTTGAAATATTTTTCATATTTCAAAAGTGAAAAATATGTTTCATCAAAATAAGCAAGTTTTCTATTAATATGGAATAACGCTAATGGTGGAGGATGAAAACATTTTCCGCCATACCAAAAAGCCAGAAAATGGCAAAAAAAAAAAACATTTTCTGCTAAAACACCTTAAGCATTAATGAATTGAAGATGGAAAACAAGCAACATGAAAACTAGTGAGTTTGGAAAGTGGGGGAAAAGAGAAGAGAAGAGAAGAGAATGGATGTAGTTACACAATGTAGTTGGGTGACCAGAGGATGGAATAGGTGTGAAAATCAGCAGTAGGGTCGAACCACAGGTAGAACTGTTGCTCCCTTCCACCCCGACCTTGACTGAACACATTGGTATGAAGAATGTATGGATCACCACTCAAGTTTCCCAAGAATTCAAAGTCAACCTCATCATGAGCTGATCCTTGTGATGATAACTGTACAAATAGCACACAATAACAAAAATTACATTTAACAAAAAAAATAAAATAAAATAAAGGCAATTATATCAATAATCTTTATATTTTGTCTTGTTTTGTCATTTTAGTCTTTACACTCTTAAATAACTCAATTTTAACTATTAAATTTAAATTTTATGTCTATTTGGTCAAATTGATAACACATTTAGTGTTTTTTTTGTGAAAAATTATCATTGAATTGGTTGAAATTAACTCACTGAGTTGAACAAGTTTATAATCTTGCCTTGAAAAATATAACATATATCACTCATCTGCACATTTTTTATTAAAAAATGTAAATAATTAGATTAAATTGAGACAAAATTATAAATTCAAGATTAAAATTGAATCAATTAAAATTATAAGGGCCAAAATGATTCAAAAACCAAAATACAAGGACTATCAGCGTAATTTGTCAAAAAAATTAATTAATATTTGAATGGAAATGCAAATGAAAATGCTTTTATGACAAGAAGAAGTAAGAAGTTAGAACATATATACATAAAAGGAAGTGTCGGTTCCAGCAGAGTTTCCGGGTGCAAGCTTGAGTTGCATCTCAAAGAGTCCGAATAGATATTGGTTCTTTGATTGGAACCTAGAACCAGAGGATTGGTCAAGAGAAAGTTTGAGAAGCTCGCCATTGTTGAGTATTTGAGCATGGTCATTTCCCCATGTTATGTCAAAGTCTTGGTTAATGTTGTCATCACAATCAACCATTGAAGAACTCAATACTACAACAAGAAGAAGGAACACTAGCAGTAGTAGCACAGCTAAATGAGCTGGTGGATAAGCCATGGATGTTTTCAAGTCGGTCAAAACTCAAAAGTGGGGACGACGATGACGAGGAGGAGGCGGCAAATTAATTAGTGTTTTGAACATGGTTTGAAGTGAATGGATGTCAGACTGATTATTTATAGTAGTCAGCTTTTTTTTTTTACTGAAAGGTAGTTGATTTTTATACTATTCCGATAGGCAGCTCGAATTTGGGGGCTCGAATTTGGCTCGAATTCGAAGAAGAAGAAGAAGAAGAAGAAGAGAAGGAGGAAGGAGGAAGGAGGAGGAGGGAGGAGGAGGACTGGAGGGGGTATAATCACAGGGGGGGAGGAGGAGGCGGAGGCGGGGCCGGAGGCGACGGCGGTGGTGCTACGACGATCGGCGGCGGCGAGGCGACGGCGGTGGTGCTGCGACGATCTCCTCTCCTCCTCTCTCTTTCTCTCTCTCTCCTCCTCTTTCTCTTCTCCTCTCTTCTTCCTCTACTCTTCTCCTGTGTTCAACGAAGAACAAGAAGAACAAACATTGTTGCAAAATAATAATTGGTTACCCAATGCAAACACTACGAACAAACACAACACATTGTCAACACAGATACAAATTAATGATTGATAAAAACATTAATTTACAAAAAGCAATCAATCTTTTCTTTGGGTTTTATTTTTTTCAACTCTTTCTTTTTGGAACTTCCTTTAATTGATCATATAAAGTTATGGGGAAAATTTAAGAAAGAAGTGTTCTGAAGAAAGAATTTAATAAAATAAAATTCAAAAAGCAAACTCTTCGCTTGGTAATTCAACAATAAACTCTAACTAACTTAATTCTCCCATCATTTACAAATCAATACAACTTAAAAAACCCCATTTATTTTCTTCCAAAAACCCAAAGCCATTTATTATATCAGTTTAGTCCCATCAATTTTGTGTATGTAACCCTCCATCATCTTCTTCAATCTTCACCTACACCCATTCATATTGATTTTGATTCCAACCTTAACTAAATTTTGAATATTTGTTAAGCTATACATGATCATAAGCAAAATATCAAACCAGCCCCTTTGGTTAGCTCATGGGCAGCAGCCAACAAAATTTAGATTGAAATTAAATGAACTATAAGACTAAACTAATATAATAAAATTCAATGGATAAAACAACAAATCAACAACATACAGTAAGGGGACAATTGTTTACAGGGTCTTAAAAAAGTAATAGGCAATGCAGAACCTATATATATATATTTTTTATCACAGCTTACCAATCCCCACTCCCAACTAAAGGGGAAAAAAATAGAAAAACACAAAAAGCCCAATAAATATAAGAAAATCCATATCAGTATTTAAAGAGTATTTAGCAAACTCAGAAGTATTTATAGATCCGTATACATTTATGAGTATTTAGCAAACAATAGCAAAACTCATAATATAGAAAAACCCATTTTATAAACAAAAAATTAGTACCCATTTCAAAAATTAACACCCATTTCTCATTAAAGAATCAAACATTTCATTAACTGTGTGTGTGTGTGTTGAGTCAGTACCTTTGAGACCCAAAAATAGTAGGAAGTGTCTGGTTCATCCTCCTCAATCACAACATATAAAAAAGAAAAAAAAAAAAAAAAACCACTAAGATTTGATCATTGTAACAAAATAAATTACGAATTTTAAATTTTTTAAATTTAAATCTTAAATTTGTTTTCAATATGAGCCATTTGTTTAATTATGTTAAGTAAAATCGGCAAAAAAAATAGTTATTTTAGTCATTAAACATAATAAAAATGAGTATTTTAGACATTTTATATAATTATATTAAGTTTATGACTAAAATACTAATTAGTTTTTTTTTTTTTCATTTTTAGTTAAAGAAAATAAACAAATAATTTAGATTGAAAAACAAACAAAATATTAAAATTTAAATTGACAAAATTAAAATTTTATTTTATTATACGATCAAACTCTAATTTATTTATTTATTTATTTATTTTTTAATGCAATTGTCTCATATTTCTTTGGTAATTATGCTAAGCTCATGCTTAATTATGTTTCCCTTCTCTATGAACTAATAAGGATCTTACAGTTTCCTAATCATTGATAGTCTGCTTTGTTTCAAAAAAAATAAAAAATAAAATAAAAAAATATAAAAATTTCCAATCAAATTACAAAGTAGTTAAATTTTGGGACAGTTACATAAATAACCCCAAGGTTTTAACCTTATAACAAAATAAACCTTCAGTTTTTAATTTTGTCAATTTAAATTATAATCTTTTGATTTATTTTTAATTCAAATCATTTGTCTATTTCTCTTTAAAGTAAAATTGACCAAAAAATAGTATTTTGATCATTAAACTCTATGTAGGTATTTATAAAATGTCTAAAATATACTTTTTATCAGGTTTAATGACAAAAATATCTTTCTTTTTTTTTATATTGATTTTACGTAATAAAATAGACAAATGGTTTAGATTAAAAACATATCGAAAGTTTAAGGTTTAAATTGATAACATTAAAAACTAAGAATTTATTTTGCTACAACACTCAAACTCTGAGATTTTTTTTTTTTTTATAATTTCCCCTTAAATTTTCTTACTTGTATCAATTACTCATTTAAAATTTCAATTGTGATATATTTATCCTTTAATTTATGAATTTGTACCAAGATAAACCAATTAAAGGGAGGAACATAAAGGGTATTTTAAACATTACACCTAATGCAACTCACTGATTAGTTAGTTAAATTATCAATTTAGTTAAAATAGCCACCCAAACTCAAGAAAAATCTCCCTAACAGTATTTTCATTGAACTAGTTAAATTTTTATTACATTTTAGTTTAGAAGTTACTTTCTTTCTTTCTTTTTTTATATTTTTTATTTTGATAGATTATATTTTAATACACTCTCCAACAAATCTATCATTTTGACATGCTATTTAAACATTATTTTTTTATTAATTTTAATTTAAAATTATTTTTATAAACTCTACCTAACTAATTCCAAAATATCAAAAGTGTTTAGGGCTTTTGGTCCAACGTCCAATTTTAAATTTTTTTAGTCTAAAAGTCCGTGCACTTTTTCATTTTGTCCATAAGGGCATCTTTCTACAAAACGACCTAACTACCTATTTACCTGTCAATCACGCTTCTATAAGCAATCTATTTTTTTTCTTTTTGTCTCTCTCTCTCTCTCTCTCACACACACACACACATACACACACACACACACATCCTCACTCTTCTCTCTCTCAAAAAAATGTCCAACTGCATCATCAACACAGCGTCGACAGGGATGAGAGGTGAATAAGGTGGCTGAGACATACAGATTGTCCACATGAGACTTCTCTAATCTCCACTTCTAGCTACAAAAGAAAATTGACCTAGATAGAACTCTAAAATATTCACTCCAAGCTTATGTACGCAATCATCCCAACTGCCGAGTTACACAAATCTATCGTCTACGACAACACTCGAGAAAACCAAAATCAGCAATCTTTACATGTTTTCAAGAATTAATCAATAGATTCGAAGGCTTAGTGTCTCTGTGAACGATCTTACGCTTGTGGAGATAGTATAGGATAGAGAGAAGTTGGAGAGAGATATCGATGAGGTATGAGTCGTTGTGGATAGGCTTAACTTCGAAGATCCACCGTCCGTGTACTCGAGAAGAAGTTGAATCTCGCTGGCGTGATTGAACATGTCGTGACACTTGACGACGTTATGGCTATCAACATCGAAACAGATCTTTATCTAATCAAAATTTCAACAGATAAAGGGAAAAAAAATTGAATAGATATGGAAAAAATTGAACAAATCTGTTTCAACAGATAAAAAAATTAAACTACTATTTTAACAGATAAAAAAATAAGCTAGATAAAAATTGAACAGATAGAAGGGAAATTGAATAGATAGGGAAATTTTTTTTGAATGGATAGATATAACTTTAAACAGATAGGTTCTAAAAAAATTGAACAGGTAAATTTTGTTTAACAGATTGATTAAGGGATAAAATTGAAAACAAAAATGTCATTCAAAGCAGCAAAATGTGCTTCTCAGCAAACTATTTCGCAAAAATGCGGACTTCTCACCTAACAAAAAAAATATCCATTGGACCTAACGCAATACACAATTGCTAAATTAGATTTTTTAACAATTTTCTCTATTTTTTAATGGTTGACTAAACCAAACCACTACCTATATTTATTGAACCAAATTCGCCAAAACTAAAATAGCTAACTTAATAACTAGTTTGATGGATTTAAAATTTGATAATTTGCTTACTATTTTAACAAAAGAATAAAAATAAACTAACTTGATGGTGATGCTCTAACAAACTAATCAACAGTTTAGTTAGAGTAGTTTTGTGAATTGTAATTACCTACTTTTTTTTAGACACTATTAAGACTCTGTTTGGGATGTGGGTTTATTGGCTATTTTAGCCAAGAAAGACAAAAAAATGCTAAATAGCCAATAAGACAAAATGTCACATCTAAATTATAATCAATTTATTTTTATTTTTCACAACCATCAATTCAACTACCAAAAAAAAAAAAAACTCAAATCAAACACTATTTTTTTAGCCAATTTAAAATAGTTAAAAAAAAAAATCAGGTTAAAAAAGCCCATTCAAACAAGGGCTAAGTAGTTTTTTACTTTTTTGTTCTTAACTTCTCTCTCATAAAAAAAATAAATGATTTTTTTTTTACAAGAATATAGTTAAAATAAATAATATTTCCAGTGTATATTAAAAAAAAAAATTAGCTAAACTAATATAAAATAAGATGTTGACTAGTATTATTAGAGGCACTATTAATCAGAGTGTTTACTACCAAACTCGCCATCATCAACCCCACCAATCGCCATTGCCCTCCAGCCGCCATCCACCATCCACAATCAACCGTGAGAATCGTCACCATTCGTGTGATTTGCTTAATTTTTTTCTCTTGCAATCCATAATGTTGTTGTTTTACTTCGAGCCCGTTGATATAATATAATAATTACAGATGATTTGAATATATATTTTATATGCTCAGATTATTCGGTGTAGGTATTAATCAATGTGGTGTATTGTATGATATGCTTAATTTCTTCCATTAGTTGGTGTTGTTGATTTCTGAACTAAAG